AAGTGTATACTTAATATGACTCAATATGCTATTAAAGTGTGCTGTTAAATTAATTTTTCAGGAATTTCTTCACTTTCAAAATTTAAGGATACTGTACATGCACGGAAATCAAATAAATGACATTCTGGACGTTATAAAACTAAAATCACTTTTAAAATTACGAACATTAACTCTACACGGAAATCCGATATCAAGGCTAGTCAATTATCGTGCTCTTGTATTGTTTTATCTTTCGCAGATAAAAAGTTTAGACTTTTCGTTAATCACTCGTCAAGAGAGAAGTGTGGCWTCGCCGATAACCTGTAACACAGTGAACAAAGTAAATTAAAATGATATTGCAAATAAATACGTTTTTTTATTTATTTCCATTGTAATTAATYCCTATTTTATTTATTATTATATTATCAACTAATTTATTATTTTTTACTATGCATATTATTAATGAAACAAAATTTCTATCTTGACAAGGTAGTGAATTTTAACCAGCGAAAGATAAAAACAATAAATATATAGTAGTGTGATAATRGATCCATTATACCTAACCRTGAAGACTTGACGTAATTTTAACTTCCATACTGTCWTTTWTTTGATTTCCATGCATGTAGAAAATGGTATTTCTCCCAGGAGAAAAATGGACGGCAAATTAAACTTTTAATTTATGAAGGATAAAACATATCCAACAGAAGCTAACAACAATGTCTTTAAAATGGTGTTGAAAAAAAATACATTGCGTTATATTATACATTCAGTATATTATAATTATTTGAAAAATGTGTATCTATATCCGAATACAACAAAAGTWTTATAATAATTTCTATACAATGTTTGTACCTACAGCAAATTAAATTTAATTGTACTTTAGAAACTGATTGAAACGTTAAACAACTTACTTTAAAAACTTTAATATATATGATAACTATTTATATAATCAAAAAAGATAATTTTCATCAGAAAATACTTYTTTGAATTATCTAGWAACTACCAATATTATAACCACAATATYAATATGAGTAATATCAATTTATTCAGAATAATGTTTAAAAAAATATATATTAAATCACAAATAAATTGCTTAGCAATATTGTAGAATAATTATATCTTATTWGAGTATTAAAATGGATATATRTTAGTYATTTAAATAATATTTTGCATAAATYCATGTATGAATTTGCATTCAATAAATGYACAAATATATTCATTTAAATCAGATTATTTATTMTATAATAAGTTGTTACATAATATTACTGTGAAAAAATATAATTTTAGAAAGAAAATACTTTTTACGGAACTACTTATTGATATGAACTGTAACATAAACATCTTCAGAACGATATATAAAAAAAAAAATACAGACCTGAAAATATTAATAAAAAATGTGTTTGAAAAATGATTTATTTTTTTATTTTACAATTTGAAATACACATTACACAATCTATACAACATAGCACAATAAGTATATATGATATTATAATAGTAACATAACTTAATCTTGAATTAAGAAATCGCCCATTGGTGACACTTGGCTGGGAATTAACGCTGTCTAGAGTCTAGAACTTCGTTTTTATTTATAACAATTCACGGCACCAGTTCCTTTTTAGACGACGCTGAGGGTTTCCCGGTATGGTTTGAGTGTAGAGGCTTTTTATCAATGGATTTTGGTGGGTTTGTAGGCGATTATGAAAGCGTTTGTAGAAATTTACAGCTTCTTCTGTCACAGTTTTCATTGTGAGGTCTTTATGTAAGGTATAATTGGACACAAAAGGTGGAGCATTTCTAATTTTTCTAAGAGCAATATACTGGAACTGTTGGATTATGTTAGTATTAGATACTTTAGCAGTACCCCATAATTGAAGACTGTAGGTCCACATTGGTTTTAATAGTGTTTTATACATAAGAACTGAAAAATGAATGAATAAATAAATTTGAAAAACTTATTTATATCCTAATACATTAGTAGTAAAGTTATTACCTACATAATAAACATTATGTAAAAAAAGTGTAAAAAGCGGTGTCAATGGTTTTTAAAATTGAATGATTAAAATTAACATTGAAGTTAACTTCTGTCACATCAGTCAAACGAGCACCGGTTGATATTCTACGCTGTCTCAAACATATTAATAATAATATGGTGGCCATATTTAATATGTTTTGTTAGGTTATTTCTGAACCGATCAACATTGTTCGAGGTTAGTGACCAGAAAAGTGGTAGTGATGATTCAACTGCTCTTATACAGTAATTTACTGGGTTTTGCGATGAGAAAATATTTGAGCACATCGATCATAATAWTATTTTGTTTAATGTAGCACGAGTACCAACGAAAAATATTATAAGAAACCGGTGGACTTAAATTTTAAGTGTATACTCCTATTAATACAGTGACCGGATTGTGTATGCAAATACAACCGTTCACAACTTGATTAATGATCAAAATAAACTCAATATAATATTTTGAAATCTTTCAACCACCGACTRGTGGCAAGGAAACGAATAGTGAATACTCATCTAACCTTWAATAATGATTAATATTACTGAATGTATTGGTAAATTATCAATAATATAGTTTGTTCAAAGGTTAGACATTTTTTAAATGTTTCATATAAAACATAATTCGAACACAAATTCTAGAATCAATACAATAATGATAAAATTTGATTATTTGATTCTGTAAATATAATGCGTAGGTTTATAATAGTTATTGAAAATAATAAATTATTTAATTTCATTTAAGTATTTTCATTTATTAAAATCCCAAA